AGTCGAGAAAGTTATGTGTAACTTGGCGGCATGAAACGTCCTCTCGACAGATCTTTTGAGTCGACGTGTTAGAATATCACCCGCTATTGTCGCCTTTAAAGTCAAGTTTCAGATATAAGGTCTTTTTACTGACAGTGTCGCAATGTCTTCTCTTTTTAATACTTTGTACGAGGTATTTTTTGACGAAATTATCAGGATAGCCATTATTACGTAATGTGTTCTTTAGTATAACTATTTCTTCCTCCACACTGTCTTCAGAACATAATAACTTGATTCTGTGGTTGAGACACTTAACCAAATTTATTTTATATTGCAGAGGTGTGAAGCTTTGGAAATGGGTATACTGACCCGTCCATGTACACTTTCTAAACATATTTCGCTTTATGGAACCATCTATCCTTCTAGAGAGTCGGACATCTAGAAAAGCTATGCTATTGTCCTTCTCCTCCTCACTGGTGAATTTAATGGCTGGGTGGACATTATTGAAAGCGTCTAGCATCTCCTGTTTGTAGATATTTTCGTCACATATGATTAATGTGTCATCTATGTATCGACAGTAATAATCAAGCTTATTTAGGATGTCTTTAAGCGGTACATTTTCTAGTTTGGTCAGAAAAATATTAGCAAGGATCGGGCCTAGAGGTGATCCCATTGCTACTCCATCTACTTGTCGGAAAAATTCATCGTTAAACTTAAAGTAGACATTCACAGTGCATTTCAAGAGAAGTCCTTTCATTTTGTTTATTGGGATAGGAATCTCTATTTTCTTTTCTATCAGTTGTTCACATATGTAATCTATAGTTTCAGTCAGAGGGATGTTAGTGAACAAAGATGTTATGTCTAGTGATAGCATGGTTTTTCCATTTATATTCATATTTTTAATTGTATCAACAAATTCAAAGACGTCTTTAATATTATGCTTAGCAAGTTCTTGGTGCAATGGATCTAATAACTTAACTAACCATTTTGCTGTTGAATGGTATGGTGAACTTGCCATATCCAGTATCGGACGTAGAGGAATATCAGGTTTATGGATCTTAGGTAGACCATATAGTCGAGGGGTATGTGTTCCAGAAGGCTTAAGCATATTATAGGTATGCTCAGAGATGTGTTGGTGTTGATTTAGGAATTTTAATGCTGCAGTTAGTTAACGTTCGGTCTTTTCATTGAGGTCTTTACATGACCCAAGCTTTTGGAATTTAGTTTGATCACTCAGTAGTGAATTCATCTTATCTATGTAGTCTGTCTTGTTTAGAATTACCGTGCCCGATCCTTTATCAGGTTTAGTGATAAGAATGTGTTCATTCAACTTGAGTTTCTGGATGGCCTCACGATGTTTATCTGTCAATATACTATTTGTGTAGTGCTTATTGCTTTTAAATTGGTTACAGCAATCAACCAGCGTGGTTTTGAATCGTTCATTTTCGACCTTTGTCGTGGGTTTTAAGTCTTGTGTCTGGGTAAATAGATTATCGAACTGAACATCAGTCTTCAAATGATCCACATGTCTACGATTATCACAAAACTTAGGACCTAATGATAACACTTCTAGTTGAGTCCTATCAAGATTAACAGAGGAAAAGTTGAAAACATACCGCTTACAGTCGTCTGGAAAATCCGGTTTAAAGATCTGTTTGTCTAGTCCTTTGATTAGGTCGATTCTTTTTTTTGTTCTTCCTCGTTCTTTGCACTTCAAGGACATAAGTCATAAACGAATCCTTTAAGTTTGGGGGAAGGTCTTCAACAGAATATAATCTCTGTGTAATATTCCTTTCTAATTCAACAATATACGTTTGAAGAGATTCGATTTGGCTAAGTGCATATCTCTTGAGCGATGATGAAATTATTGAAAACAGTTGTTCGCTCAAATATTCTTCGTTTTTGATTATTCTATGGGGAGTTTATATTATCTTTACATTTAACAGTCAACACTATTCTATATAATTTTACCACAGCTTTCTTTTAAAAGATACCTCTTGTTTTTATTATGCAATATACAATATACCATTTTATGTGAAACATGAACCACTACTCTATTACCTGATATAATCTTATGATGTAACTAAATGAATTTATTTCTGTCATAATCCACATTATAAGGTGATCGAATATTTATTCATAGTTGTATTCATGTCATATGAGTTTGTCAACGTTATTATTTTCTTTTTTTGCACACCAAAAATGATCAGATTACTCATGATAAAGTCATCAATTTGTCATCTGTTCACTAATCTATAAATTTATTAGTTATGATTAATTCACATGATAATTAGTATTGTGTTATTTCATTCATGTCATCAATTTCATCCAGCATTTATGTTATGTAATAGTTCTGAGAAGTATGAATACTAGTGTAATTAATTAAATTCTAAGTTATTTATACATCAGATGGGTTTTGTGGATATTATAGTAATTTCAATGGTTAAGATCATGAGTCAGTTGAAGCTAGACCATCATGGAAAACCTGGACGCACTGGACGGCCGTTTAGTCCTATTGTGGAACTCCTCAGCGGTGCGCATCCACGACCTCGCCCCCTGCGAGGTTCGAACCCAGGACCTACTGGTTTCGCGCGCGAAACTGAGCCGGCATCCAACGGTGTTAATGTCTAACTTCAACTAATCCACGAAATTGAACGACACATTTACCATTGTCTTCAAAGAGTTACTATTACACAACTGGCCTAGTTGAACTCCACTGGTCACTGTTTCTCACTAGAACTCCAAGAAAATGCCTCTTAAAGTCATTCACTAGTGAGCAGATGACTATTATCAGTTATTATTATCGTTAGTTTAGATCTTTAATCTCGCAGGGGGCGAGGTCATGGATGAGCACTGCTGAGGAGTCCCATATTAGGACGAAACGACCGTCCAGTGCTTCCGGGTTTTCCATGGTGGTCTAGCTTCAACTGACTCATGATCTTAACCATTGAAATTATTTATACATGTTAGTAAAAATGAACAAACAAAATAGAGAGTATAATTGTTTTTCTAATCATAATGAAGATTTTCTTTGTATTAATGTGTGAATGAGTGTCCTACTGTTTATACTCGATGATAGAGAACCAGTGTAATTGTTTGAATTACACAGTGCAATAACACAGAAGGCTGGTCCAGGTGAAAATTTATTGACTGCTGAAAACATGTCCTCATTAAAATTAAGTACAATCATCGACATAGTGATTTACACACTTGATGATCAGTTAATAAATATCATATATAAGGGGGGAAATGCACAGAGCTACTATAAGACACACATATAGAGTTCACATTAGATTAATATAAAGGATATAATTGTCACGTCTGTCGTACTGACTGAAATTCACACTGAATCGATACAAGAATACTAACCTGAAATAACATCGCATTGAACGAACGAATCAATGCAGAAATAATAACCTACTCTATTATCATATTTTGATCTCGTCATATAAATTGAATATTTTTTATAACTGAGTTTGTGCAATTTATCCTTCAAATCTATTCTCCTTATTGATTGGATATTGAGATTGTTAAGTTTGATTTGTGAATGTCCAATTACTATTTATGGGAAGAGGACTAACTATTATGTTATGCTTTAATCGTAAGTAATAACATTTCACCTTAGTGTTTTTTTTTTGAAATTCTACAAAGTAAATCTTACAAGTACAGCAAAACTATAGCGGTCTTGTGAAAAGTTTTGGGCTGTTTAAGGATTGCTTTCTTTCTAATCTAGGATGAGATGGCTACTTAATGCTCTATGGTTTCCTATGTTTCTAAAGTTGATATCGCCTTATGATAAAACTCATTTCTTGAAAAAAATATTACACCACATTTCTATTATTTATCGATTTCTAAAACATTTCATTCATTCTCGATCTAATTCTTTCAGCGACTGATAGTGAATGAACTGAAATATAACTTCAAATTTTGGTTTATTTTACTAGTCGAACTGTAGGAGATTTAGATGCTGTTCAAAGGTCGGTGTTTTATCAAATAAACGAACGCCAACTGTTTTCTTAAGCTTTATAATACGAGGGTAATCAAACTAACCTAGGCCGATTAATTAGTATGAAGTTAGTTCAAAAAGATTTCAGGCAACTATCAGTCAGTTGTCGAGAATATATTAAAAACGCAACGTATTTAGGCTAAATGCTTCGAATCTTATGTTCACATTTTACTAATATAACCCTGTTTGAAATCCGCTTGTAAATATAGGGTTGTGGAAATTGTTGAGTTTCACGGAAATCATGAACTGACCAATGTTAGACTAGAACAACTCAAACAAATTTATTACAAATAACTAATTATTCGATAAGACAATATATCAGTTGGGCACTTTTAATGTTCAGTAGATAGAAATAAATAACTTATTATCTTTGCTTATAATGTTTGTGAATTAAGGCAATATTGAGGTAATAAGCACAGTATGCACATATGCCAATAAGAGACTGATCAATTACAGTCCTACACATCAATGGGAAGATCCAAGTAAATAATACCAAGTGAATTTAAGTATCTTGTAAATTGTTTATTTTTTTATTATCTCGTCCAGATATTTTTTGTAATGGATAATAAGAAAGCTTTTTGCACAATTTATGTTTACTATAAACTTTATAAAACAAATATAAATGTATGTATACTTATTAACAAATAATACATTATAACTATAAATCCCTGGAGTCCCTCCGGAGGCTACTGCCGGTCCCAAGCCCGGGTAAAGGAGGAGGGCTGGGCATGGAGTTAGCGATCCCATCCCGAAGAAAACTAACTCGCTAAAAAAACGCTAACCAGAAAAACTTATTCAAACCTTTTAAACTCTGCCCTGGGAGTCAGAAGGTTTTCATTTAGAAAAGTTATGACGCCTCATGATGAAAGCCGAGTTCCTTCGGAAGTTACGAAACCAATGCCCTTCTGATAACCAGAGCAACCATTTATTTGGGTACATGGAATACTCGTACAATGTGGGAGACATTATAGCTATGAAATTCACCTTTAACAACTAATATTTGTAAAATGTGGTAGAGTATTTATTCAGTACACAATTAAAATTCATTTGAATATATTTAATTATACATGATTTGATAGTGAAAGTAGTTGGAAGTTTACAAATTGTTCTTTATCCCATTCTGTTTATCTATAACATACACAACATTGATTACATGCATCTGAACAGGTTTTCTTTTCTATAATTCCAATTTGTTGTGCTTCATAATGCATTTGACATGCTACACAACCGTTACAGAAACATAGTTGACAGCAATCTTTGCATCCATCACCCTGAATTATAAAATAAATCAAATAATCAATTCATTCAGTGTATACATACATATATAAAAAAGATAGTATGAAAAGATTAGTTCAGGATCCTATTAAATTTCAACTGAAACCGGTGGTTATTGATGTGATGAAACAGTATTTCATTGTTTATATTGTAGTATTTCCTTCTTGTCTTGGTTAGCTACATCTATATAGAAATCATTCAGAGTTATTCAAAAATGTGCTGATAACAAGAATAACTTGTCGTAAACTATGAAGCTAATGAAAAGATCTGTAATCCAACAATGCATTTATTTCATTTGGTGATATGATTGGATGTGTACTTTGAACAAGGGTCATCGTGTTTTAGGGGTAAATAACTCTTCAGTTGTATCAGTTTTTGTGTTCTTGCTTCGCCTTGTAGGAATTGTAATGATTCTTCGTTTATGGTCGTAAGTAGTAGGGCGAGGGCGACTTAAGATTTGGTAAATCGTCATATTTTCACACTTTCTAGATAAATCAAAGGAAGCAGTTTAAAGTAAGTGATTAGTTTTTGAACAGTATCCTGCTTTTATTAATCCAATAGATTAGATGTATAAAATTATTTACTAAAATTATGGTATGTATGAAATCTCTCTGATTAATGTAAATGATGACTAACACCAGTAAGCCTCATCAGTAACTATAAAAAGAAGTTTTTGTTATACCACAACCTTAAATTTTAAAGCAGAATCTGGAATGTCAAACCTATTTTCAGGCAGGAAAAGTGATGCATTGTGCCGACTCAGATTTCTAAGGGGTAAAACATACGCTATAGATGGCCTAATTTTCTATCGAATGAAAGTAAATGTATGAATTAGTTTTTATAAATCTCCGATTTGTTTAGCTAATCAAAACTGTCTTCTCGCTTGTGTAGCCGTTTGGGCTCATATATAGAAAGCCTACATTTCAGTATCAGAATTGGACAGGGAATCACACAATAGATTATTATAGTGTTTTGCACAAATACCTATTATGTATTTGAATCATCAGATCATTAAAAAGAAATGTACATAACAACATACAACATTATAAATTCTTGTTAAAACCTTGAGATGTTCAAGTCAACTTCCAAGCATCATTACTAATCAAAACCGTCAAATAGGAATAAAAGTTTGAATGGTGTTTTTAAGTTGTTTTCCTTATATTCTGTGCAACTCAGATAAAACTTTTCAAGCAGTTGTTTAAAAATTCCGTCGATTTATATAGCCAAGATATCAATAAAAACAATTAGTATTAGGTATGATTGGTTGAAAATTACTATATATATATTACTATCATTTAGATCTAAATTATTTGAATAGCTATGCAGTAAAAGTTCATAAACATTTGAATACATAATGTGGGTAAAAAGATTCAACCTCCGCCTTCTCGTGGCTGGGGTGTTGTTCACGAAATTGAGAGGATGAAAAGCGAATTTCCGGCGATTTAACCGGGTTGGTGAATACAGAGGATCCACCCAAGGGAGTTGGAAAACCAATAGTGCATATGGGTTCCAAAATCCAAAGGGAACAAAAGGCGTATGAACCAGTTATTGGTCACCGGCTACGATTGGATCGCATCTCCTTACGTTGCTCCACTACCTTGTGTATCATTATTTAGATCGAAGGCTCCGGGTGTGGCCCCCTCAGAGAAAACCACCCGCTTCGGTTTGGGCAGCCGGGCAGTATCACAACCCACACAAAAATCAAGTGACTTGTATGGCGCATATGTATTCGGTGTCCCTTTGTACCAATATTTATGTGTTCAAATAAATAAATAAATTTTCTGTTGTTATAGCAAAATCAAACTGGTTTTTTTGTAACTGAGTATCCATCTCGAAATAAATGGAATATAACTCGATCAAATTGCTTAATTATAATTATAATTTTAATCATTTTGGTTAAATCAATCAATCATAGATTGAATAAACTATTTATTATTACGTCATAACTACGACAGACCATAGTCTATTAACTTTTATTTACATACTTGGTGAAAAATACTGATTTCGAAAGAGCAGATCACACTAGAATAAACAGGACTAAGCGAAAACTTGAACAGATAAAATGATTATTTTGAAATCTTCAAACACCGATAGTGTAAATCTAGAAATGCGACAGGTACCACAGATATCAGGTCTTGTTATTAAAATTAGTGTGTTAGATAACTTCTCCGTCTCAACCCCGTGTTTTGAATGTTTGTTGTAGGTAAAGAAGAATAAGATCTGATTTGAATTATTATTATTATGTATATTATGATGAAAATTACTCGTAATGCAAGTTGTTAACATTTACATTAAAATCTTCTGATGTTTAGCATTTCTATCAAAAAATTAAGTTAGAGAATAGTTTATTCTGCGTACCGCCTATAGGAATTTACCAAGTGTCACAGATATTAATTACTTTTCACATACTAGACATGAATTGTAAGTAAGGAATTAAGCTTTAATTGACATGACCAACTTTCAACAATTGATTGAAGTGATTTTCGATTGGGATCATAAACTGATTGATGTTAGACCCCCAGCGAAAACCTGGAAGCACTGGACGGCCGTTTTGTTCTATTGTGGGACTTTTCAGCAGTGCGCACCCGCAATCCCGCTCGCGGGCTTCGAACCCAGGGCCCTGAGCCTCATGAGCGAACACTTAACCTACTAGACCACTGAGCCGGCCGGCACCCAATGGTGTTAATGTCTAACCTCAACAAATCCACGAAATTGCGCAACCATCTCCGGTTGTATTGATGTAGATACCTGTCTCTACCTGGCACGAATTAACTCCACTAGTGAGCACGTGGTGAGGAGTCCCACGACAGGACAAAACGGCCGTCCAGTGCTTCCACGTTTTCAGCAGTGGTCTAACATCAATCGGTTTATGATCTCAATCAAAAACATGATAGTCTCCACAACCTTTATACTGAAGTGATTTCCTTCTAATTGTTTTTTACCATTTCATGGTAATTAATACAAAATAGTAGTTCTTGTTTAGGACAATATGAATCAATATAAACCTCTTTTAAATGAATGAGGTAACGAATGATAAATATAAAACTTAAAAGATTTCATGGGCTTTTGTTTCAGTTTCGTAAATGGGCAATGAATGTTTCCTCATATTCTTTAAAATATAAACTTTATTGAACAATGAAACATAATTTGTTTATTGTATTCAATTTCAAATTTCAAATGATCAACTATAGTTTAAGTGATTTCATACAAGTATTTATATAACAAATATTCGTTATGTATCACTTTTATCAATTTGAGATCATTCCAAATTCTCCTCGATTCTATTAAAACAGACTAGTTAGTATTAGAAACTAATATATTTCAGAAGGTTATCTAATGGTATTTGTTTATTCATATTCATGGTAAACATCAATGTGTTAATGCCAAATTATACAATAAAAATAGAACAGAACTTCGTAAGAATTCACATGATTATTGATTCACTCATGTTTTTACATTCACTTCCAGAAATATAGATTGAATTATTTTAAGGAACAGTCACGTATAATTTTAATAAAACAACAATGATAGAAATAAAATTGTTTAATAATATTTAATAATATTTAACACATAACGGTTGTTTCATCCTAGTGTGGGACACATTGAAAGTAGGCCCAAACGGTCCTTTCAAGGTTCGAACCCACGACCTTCAGGTTTCGTGGCAAGAGCTTAGGATGTAGACCAATGAGCCAGCACATAGTAGTGTCGATGTTAGTGAACCTACTAAGATGATCAATGGGCAACATTGGACGTATTTACAAAATGCATTTTTGTATCTTTAGTCGTCAAGACTACCTCTATCATTACTTTCCATTAAGCAATTAGAAATGTTTCATTTGTATGTTTATTACATTATAGTACCATATCAACACTTATGTCTGTTTACATTTAATTTTGTCAAGCCCTTCGATTAACTTATTAACAGATAGTATCATTCGAACAGTAACAATTTGTATACCTTTCTATTATTGTTTTCATATCTGTTTGCTTGATCGCGTGTTAGAGCCTACATACAGTTCCTCTTACTAGCTTAAACAACAGTTGTTCAAAACGCCCCTTAATTCGCCTGTATTTGTTTGTTCACTCGTTTATATTAGCATTTCTGCTCGTATTCGCTTTGTGTTCTTGTGAATCAATGACTTGCGCTGTTCAATAATAAACTGCAATCGACGTGTTACATTGCTTCCAGAAATTTATACACCGAATAGAAACTTATTATATAACGGTTATCAGGACGACTGATAAATGAAAACTTAGGAATTATCTGGAAGATAATCCACTACAACATAACTGTGAGGCTGAAGATTCTCTGAGGTATATTTAATCTTATATATATTCGTATGTTTGCAAATAATGTACATGATTTATTAACTTGAAAAAAATGAAAAATAAGGGTAAACAAATTAATCCCTTTGATAAATTTCGATAATGTAATCAGAAGACGAAGATTATCAGAACTATGTGATATATCAACGCTATACATTACGAACAATCTGATCACATAATATACTTGTTAAGAACATTCATATATATAAAATTAAAAGTTTAACTAGACTGGAAAAGGGGTAAGAGAAGACAAGGATGATAATAATAATAATAATAATAATAATAATAATAATGTGAATATAATTTGAAACCTAATCACTCTGGTTAATAAGTCAATATTACCAAGGTAGGTTTAAGGTTCACAATTGATTGATCACTAGATGGTGATCAATGTCATGCTTGCCTAGTTCTTATTAGTGCAGATCGAATGCTATCGATCATGTTGCAATGTGGCCACCAGTCTAGGTGACTCGATACTGATAATTTTAATAGTTCTGATCATCTTCATGTTCTTATTACATTAATGAAATTTATCAAAGGGACAAATTGCTTTAAAATGGTGAATAAATTGGTCTGACAATGTATTATTTGGGAATAATAAAGAAGAATACAACATTTAAAAGTACATAGAATAGTTTATTAATTGGGAAAACAAATATTTATTATGTAA